TCCATTTATATAAATGGAAAGAAACCATGTTTCTTAAGCTTCTGCTTATGGAATGATGCTCCAGTCCTGTGCCCTGATCAAAGATGAAGTTAAGTAGCACCATCTAASCATTTTATTTGTGATCTGGATTTGGATGATGTTTGCACCATAAGAAGTACTGYTGTGAAAGAGGTCAGCTCAGAAATATGTAGTGAATCTTAGCAGCAGGAGAGGTTTAATTTTTGCTAAATTAGTATTTGAGCTCCACTCAGTGGTATCCAAAAACAATGTTAAAATGTTGAGTATGAAGGAAATGCCAAAGGAACAAATTGAGAAGAAAGGTCTTGTGCAAAAGCATGTCATTGTGAGATTTCTGAAATAGTTAAATTTACATAAACCTCTTGATTTATTCCTAATACTACATTGGTATATCACAGGATGCACTAAGTGCTTTCTAAGTGAGGAAATGGATTCCCGTATGAAAAGAGCCCCAAGTGGTGTTTGATTCCCAGTTATGGTGGTAGTTCTATCAATGGGCTGTGTGTCTGTTTCCTGTGCACTGAAGTTCTGATGTTCTGACTCACCATCATCCTTCACCTTCTGTGTTGCCTCTCTTATTTGCGTTAGTGAGCAATATTTCAGAATATTTCAGAATAATATTTCAGAATATTTCAGAATATTTCACAATATGGCAGAGGAATCGTAACTTTTCTTCTGCAGGCTGCTCTTGTGATTATCTTTAGGGTAGTTTGTGCTGTCTGGCACTAAACCTTCAGAACAGCATCTTGGGGATGTATCCAGGAAATTGAATTCATATTAATTCAATAAAGGAGAGAAACRGTTTGTAATGTAAATTCGCATCATCTGTGAATGTACAGAGTATGTGAAGGCCCTCCTGGATGCAACTTGGATTATAGCAAGCATATGATATTTGCAATTCTCAGTTTTGGACTAACGGCCTAGAAGGCATAAATAGCATGCTTACATGTACTAGAAGAATTTGGAAAGGTATTCTTTAATTTCCAAAGCAAGCAAAGCTCAGTACTGTTAGGTTTCATTATCTGAATGGTGCTGTTCACCCATGTAACCAGTTTACCTTGATGCCTGTCAGAAGGAATAGTTCTCTCATCATTGATCAAGATGCAGGGGACAAATTTTGGAGACGTTGAGTTCTGGGGAATATTGTGAAATTCCGGTGAAGCTCAGGGCAGCTGAGTGCTTTTGACATGCTGCAAAATTGGGCTCTATATTTGTTGCCCATTTTTCCATGTTGCGCGTATTTCAAACRCAATCCCATACTTCACTACAGCTTTCTAGATTCATTACTTGTTATCAAACTTTTGTGGCCTGATAATGGCACATGGGGCACAAAATAAACAGTTTGGATCTCCTCCTGGAGAATGCAGTAATAAATCATTACCTGTCCATAACGCAAAAGCAGGACATCTATTTTTCATACAGTAATCTTGCAGAAAATATACCAGCATCACTGGAGTTTTAGTAGTATCCTCCATAAACTTGTACTTATTATGATCCAAGTAGGGAAGCTAATCCTGATGAATTATGGAGGATTTAAAACAGATTTTTTTTTTAAAGTAGGCAGTTATGTTAAATTTGGGGAAAAGTCTGTACTGTGCTAGCTACTTTTGTATTATCCATAGGTAGTTTAATTACTAGTTGGGTGAAATATTAATATCCTTTTGTTCAAGAAAACCATGACTAAAAAAACTGCTGTTCCATCTTTATTTATCTTGAAGGCTCAGAAATGTCTTTCTGCAGTAGGCTATATGTAGTAGTACTAGATATAAAATAATTCTACACTTCTTACAATGCCAGAACCAAATTTTACTCTTAGATGTAAACTGCTTGTTTCCATTAACCTCATAGAAATAACACATCTATCTGCATCTAAGGGTACTCTTGGTCCCTGATTCCTGAGTCTGTATACTCAAATCTCTAAGATTTAATTGTCCTATCTGTAGAAATATGTATGTGTCAGAGGACAACGATTTTATAGATTGTTTCTGTATAGACTTTGACACCTATTTCCACGTTATTTTTTGTTTTTCTTCAGTCATAACTTTCTCCTTCATATTTTAGCATGAAGTAAACACCTTATGGAGCTCAGAAATCTAGAGAAATAGGAAATTCTTGCTAACAGAAGTCCATTTTAAACTAAAAAGTTATGTTTGATCTGTCATTCAACTTCAGCCCATTGATATTTCCTTGTAATTTTCACATRAATGTCAAGTTTACTTTAAATTGTGCTTGTCAGTAGTAATAGTAAATAGCTTAAGCATACCTCCCACTGAGGTTGTACTACTTCCTCATCATTCAGTGTATAAGCATTAATCAACGTGAATTCTGTTTTTGAGCTTAACATTTCTTTGTTGTGATGATGCTTAATTGGGATAAATTGCTTAAGGGACGGTTCCTTCTCMCCCCACCATCAAAAGCCCTGTCTACTACAAGGGGAACATTGAGTGCTGCTCTCTTGATTTTGCAGGAAGGAGGTGTAGTTGCTCTCTTCAAGATCTGCCGCCAGGATTGTTTCCGGGGCCTTTACCCACAGACGCTGAGAACGTTGGCATCCGTTTGCTGTGTAGAGGAAGGCATGCACCAGCTGGAGAAGGTAGGCGCTGCAGCCTCCTATCCTGCCTGCCTCCTAACTTGGAGGAGTCCTGTCTTTCATCTTTGCTGAATTTGGTGAAGTGGTGACATTCGTACCATGCTCCATACAGTGCTTTTTGTGCTGGACAGACCTTCAGTCTTCACAGAATTAGTTGCAGTAATAACATTATCCTGTTCAGTTGCTTGCAAAAAAAGGCTCACTAAAGGAGTGTAATTTTYGTAAGTGAGTGTGTTAGTGGCTGCATCAAGAAGTTAGTGAAATAATTTCCGAAGTCTTTGTTTAGAAACTCCAGCACTTTAAATATCCAAGCTCCGTAAAACACAGAAAGCTATGAACCTGTTCAAATCCTTTTCTTGGACACTTAAAACYGGGCACTTGCGGTAAAGTGAACTGTTGGAGTTGTAATTGCACAAAAAGAATGGAACTGGAACAGTTCTAACCAGTAGCAAAGTGCATCTCTTAAACAACAACTCTCATAGAAACCAATTTTAACTGGGATGAATAACATCAAAGCATAACACTGATAAAATTGTATCAACTGGTCAGGCTTCATTCCCCTCTCTTGCTATATACTGCTGTGTTTTGGAAAATGAACACTTCTCCTGGTCACTAAATCATGATCTCATCCTTTGAATTTCATAAAACAGTCATCTTTCACAGTTGAATAATAGCCCCTTCAAGTTAATGATAAATGATTTCACTGCCACTTTACATTGACGTACCTTGTAATTTACTGCCCAAAATTGAAGCAAACCATGACGGAACATCTGCAGCAAAAAGCAAGTCTCAGAGTTTACAGTAAATGAAGATGACTTAAATTTTTTTTGACATAATGCTAGTTCACACTGACACCAGAATCCGTCTAAAAGGATCTTTCATTATGTCCATAATAATAGTGGAGTTAATAAGATGGAAAAGATTCATTAAACTCACCTGGTCCAATTCCTGTCAGTATCACCATACACTTAGTGTGGCCTGTTTCAGAGCTGATGGAAACAAGCCTTAGAAAAAGCGGGAAATTTCCTCAAACTCATATGTCTCTGATCTGCTTTAATGTTGTTCAAAAGCAAAGTTGCTCAGGGTAAATTTTGTCAAAATTGTAATTGGGTAGGTTTTAAAGGATTTTTAACTGAAATCATTACAATTGCACTCATTTTTGCCTGGACCTTCAGTTCTTAAATCAATATCTTGGCAAAACCTACATCTATAGTGTGRCAGGCTGAAATTTAATCCTACTCACCTGACAGAATAGGCAAAGATTTATAGTACTAGTTGGATATCACTTTGGTAACTACTTCAGTAAAATTTTATTGTTGATACATAAGTTATGTGTATCCTCTTCTCACTCTGTCTTGTACACCAGTTTAGAGGTAAACAGGTTTTCTGTTAATGGGAATCAATGGAAAGTGCGTCAGGTCAGAGGATTGATTTGGACACCACTCCACTTTTTGATACTGTTTTCTTTAAATTAAATGGTTGGTTGATATATATATGTGTGTGTGTGTGTGTGTGTGTGTATTTTTGTTGTTTGTTTTAAAGTACTCTGGGAAAGAACAAAAAAGATGGTTAAAAATATTACCATTCTTGTTATTGCAGAAGTTATCATATGAGCCCTTCTCAGGCAGAAAGGGCTTCTTCTGTTGTCCAGTTAAGTACTAGGGTAGTCATGAAGCATTTAATTTGCTGTAATGTGAAAATTGTTATGCCACCACAACACTGCAATTCATACGGTATTTTTAGTACTTTTTTTTTAAAATCTCTTTCAAGCAGATGAAGTTTGGGTCCCAAATAATTCAGATCAGATAATTCAAGGTGAAATTGTCTGTATTTCAGTTAGATTTTGCAGCCATTAGAAGACTGCTTAAAAGAGAATAGCAAGAAATGTCATTTCTAATGGAACATTTATTTGGGAAGTGAGCTAAAAGAGACTGGTATACTTTCAGCAATGATTGAGGTGCTTAATTGCTGAAAGTGTTAAGATTTTTGCTAATTTATCCATTGCTCTTTAGTCTTGYAAATTCAGTAGTAAATCAATAACATCTGTGTTGATGCGCTTGGTTATATATAAAGCAAACAAGCCAGTGGGATGTCCACATCTATGCAAGTAGAAACTAGACTAACATTTTAAGATACCTAAATGTTAGAATTTCTTTAGAGATAGTTCACATTTAATTTGAAAGATGCTATACTATATTCAAATTATTTGTCTTGGCGAAGTTCTTGGATTGTAATGTGAAATTACGGGCTACTAGTGAGGGAATTAGCAATTGAGTTCTCATTTCTAAAGCTATAGAAAATCTCTTATATTAAGCAGAAATATTTTCCTTATTTTTTGAAGAATAATTTCTGTTCTTTCCTATCTTCTGCTTTCCAGCACAGTTGTAAAAGCTCTCTTTTGTAAGCCATTATTATTTTTGATAAGCAGATTTGCCTGTGCTATCATTGCAGTAAAAAATGTAATTATAACAATGATTAGTTTACTCTTTTAGGTGAATCCAATTGCCTGCATTTACAATAAATGCAAAAACAGTTGGTTAAAATGTCAGTTATACTTCATTTACTGATGCTGTAATGACTTTGAAAGAAGTACTATTGCCTCACTGTGCATTGACCTACACACTACAGGAAATTGTCAGTAACAAATTAGGCTTCTAATATACAAAGATAGTGGAAATTACCTCAGTTTGTGACTGAGGACTGTGTATGAATTAATGTTCTTTGTAATCTATGCTCTGCAGGTGGTAATTGGAAGGGTACTTCAAGTTCATAATCCCCATCCACACCAGTGGCAAGGACTTTAGATCCTTCTGGTCTCTCAACTGTCCAAGCAGTCCCATTTCAGTGAGTGAATTCCTAAAAAAGCAACCTGAATTTTCATTTTGTGCATTGTTCCTGTAGTGGCCTGTTTCCTGCAAGCAAGACTTACGTTGTCTACGTCTGTGCCCTCTGAGCACACAGTTTCTGGGGAAAAGCCTGTAGAATCAGAGAAGATKATTATTTGTGCTCTTGGTAATCCAGACTTTAAGCAAGGAAATAATAAAGTCARTCACTGAAAATAGAAGAACTAAAAGGGATATGATGGAAACAAACTTTAGTATAAAGGAACAGTATATAGAACAATACTGCAGGCAGAGATCTGTGTATCCAATCTCTGGGATTTTTGTGTTTTTAGGATTCTCAGAACAGAAGTATAATGATGTGGTGGGAGATGAGCTCTGGATGTAGAGACATGATGAGATTTGTAGGGAGAAGAATGTCTGGATTGTTCATGGACTGCTTTGAAAATTTAACTCAATTTATTGTGAGGATTTCTGTATAGGAAAGACTTTTGAGAGCAAAGACCTGCACTAGATTAATATATACATTTTGTGAAACTTAAGGCAAAAAAWTCCTGATCTATGATCATCTGAAAATGGTTATCTTCACGTTTTTTATACTCAAAATACCATGTCCATCTTGAAGACATGTAGAAACTAAACAGATTTGTTTTCAACATGCTCGAAAAGGGGCTGTGCTTTGAATACACTTGTACATCTTGGCACACTATCCCAGAAGAGTTCTTCATAGTCCCTTCACTTGCAAAGATGGTGTCGTGTCCTTGTTTTGCAAAGCTCTCTGCACAGTCTCCAAACTCTGGGATTTCTGTGTCTCAGGARTGCGATGACATATGCTGACATGTAGCTGTATTAAAGCCTGAAGTACTTGGTAGTTTCTCTGTTTTCGATTTGTCCATACAAAGTTAGTTGTTCATCAGTGCCAAAATGCACAGCTTTCCTATTTTTGTGCTATGCTGGAGCTCACTTGCATAATTTTACTGAGGCAAAATTCCTGCTGCAGTAAAAGGACTGCAGAGTTCAGAAATAAATAAAAACCAGATGTGATGGTGCAGTTTTTACCTGTGTCATTACTACATTAAGAACCTGCAGTTCATCTGGGAGTTAGAATCACAACTCAATTGCCACGGAAATAAAGTGGTTTATACAGGTATTCATTTAAGCAGCTGCCTAAATATTAACACTGTGCAGTGTGTATTTACTTAATGAAAATAGTCTAGAGAGACAGACACCTGCTGTTAACTCATTAAGACCTATTCCAGAAAAAGATGAGTGGCTGGTGAATACTTTAATAAATGCTGTTCCATTTTTTGGAAAAAAAAAAAATCACTATACTTTAAGCAAAATTGCCTAGATACAGACTGTAAATTACTTCTAATCCTTAATTTAAAGCATATTATATCAAATGACTCGACCAAAAAAAAAAAAAAAAAAAAGTGAGGACAGGGGACAAGTATGAACTGCACAATTTTTGAGTTTAGGGAACTGCAGAAGTTTTGCAAAGACTTTTGAAACATCAGAGCGACCTAAAATCTGTTGATCATTGTGAACCCAACTGTTTTTTAAACATAATCATAATTTTATTCATACTAATAGCTTCTACTACTAGAGATATTTATGGTAACCTCCTTRTATTGAGTAAAATATTTCTTAGAGAACCTGAAACTACAGTTTTGTTTATCATTTTTGGGTGAATGTGAGCTGATTCATTGAGTTAGAAACCTGAAACCAGGTTTGAAACCAGGTAATTTTCTGGTTTGGCTGAGGTTACGTTCATACTCAAGATCTGAAACTGAAAGTTCAAGGCAGTTAGTACCGACTGAAGTTGTTGCATTGATTTTTGGTTGCTGAAACCACTGAGTTTCCTGTAGCTGCAGGCTGAGATAGAAGTGAGAATTGTTGCAGGCTGTTTTGGGGGACTTTATGGCCAGATGTGAGGGTATAATCAGCAGTTTTTAAACATAAAAGTTAGCTATTGGCCCACATATATAACTTTTGGGGGAATTTGTTTTGTTGTTGTTACAGGATGTGAATGTTCTACTGTCTTGAATGTATTTATTCTGACGCTACTTGTTATGACATGTAAATATTCTCATACCATGCAAGAGGTCTTAACTCTGTATGAACTGTGGCTCTGTCCTTGAATCTTCCAAATACCAGGAAAGT